AGTCTACTGACAGAAGGCTCTGTGGGTCTGCCATGTGCCAGGTAGTGTGGTGCTAACTTTTCATGTGTCCTCTCTCACCTCAAAACATGGTGAGACAGGCTTTATAGCCATGACTCCAGCTAAAGATAGTAAGTTCCAGAGAAATTAAATGTAGGGCTTCATTACCTAGCCAGAGCTGGGATCCTAACTGAGGGCTGGCTTACTACAAAACCCTTACTTAGGCCTCTGTATCAGATTGCAGCAGACAGATACGAAAAGGATTAGGAGGAAACTAGAATATTCTAAAACTCTAAAAGTCGCTCTCCAGTTGCTTTTGATTATGACAAATGAAAGCAGTGAAGGAATAATACAACTAACCCAAGTCGCATTTGAACTCATGTGGCTCCGAAAAGTAGTTGAAAAAGCATGCCTTCACATCCCTGTCGGATTATGAAGGGTAGCCAAATCGACTTCCATTGAATACTTGCTTCAGTTTATTGATTTTTTTTTCCCTTTCTCATCCCTGAATGTTTTTGTGTATTTAGAGTTGAATTTGAAGTGGAAACCCATTTTCAAGAAACCTCCACATCCCTGTAAAGATTAATAAGGGTCATAGGTGAGAAGCCTACGTGGTTTTAGTCAAAATGGGTTTCCTGCTGTATTACCAAGTCAGAAAACAGGAGAAAAGAACACTCTGGGATATCATGTTTAAATTAAATAAACAGTGGTCATTATTTTTCTTGGGAAAGGTAAACATTTCTTAAAACAATGATTTGGTTTGTTTTATTTTTTGAAATATGAGATATTCATACAGATTATATGCTGGTAAGATTTCAGGTTTGACTGGGCTGCTTACTAGTAAGTCAGTAGGAGTGAGAAATGGTTGATTGTTGGTCAAACCATAAGTGGACCCAGAAACTGTAGCAGAGTGGAGAGAACAAGATCAGAGAAGAGGATCAGATGGCTAATTATTGAATTCCAGAGGAATTATAAAAGCTTATTAATACTATTCCATCTCAGAAGACAATAATGAGTAGTGAAAATGATAACTAGGGGCCTTGATGCAAAGTATTAGTAAGAGATACCATATTCTTCTGGCTCTTTCTCAGTCATCTATAACCACCCTCTACCTAACTAGTCCTCTTCGACTCAGTTTATCACGTCACCTTTTTATTTTAGTCATAAAATTTACCACAGTCAGAAATTACCTTATTTACTTGCCTATTTGCTTATGTGTTATCTTCTGACTTTGCCCACTAAGTGTAAGCACCACGGGGTCAATACTCTGGTCCATGTTCCTCAACTCCTTGTCACCACTGCCTAGACCAACCTATGCTATGAAGGATGCAACTCTTACATACACAGGATTTTTGAATAATTGAGTAAATGGATACACCATTTGTGATACTTCAAGTATTAGTTAATATTAACATAACATTTATAAAGTACTTAAAACAGGTCCTTGCACATAATACAATACATGCTTGTTAACTAAACGAATATCTTCCTGACTAATACGAGCTGACCAATCTCCCTCATTCTAAATTAAAGTCACTTCTGATAAAAGAACATAGACATTTAATTCTATGACTGCAATCATCTAGAACATGATTAACAGTTAATGCTCTGTAACAGAATTTTTTTTTTTTAATATTTTATTTATTTGACAGAAAGAGACACAGAGAGAGAGGGAACACAAGCAGGGGGAGCAGGAGAGGGAGAAGCAGGCTTCCCGCTGAGCGGGGAGCCCGATGTGGGGCTCCATCCCAGGACCCTAGGATCATGACCTGAGCCGAAGGCAGACGCTTAACAACTGAGCCACCGGCACCCCTGTAACAGAATTTCTGACCATCAGTGGTTTTGTTTGCTTTATGGGGAACCTAAAGGAAATTAAATCTTTGGCCTTAACTGAATCCCTGTCTTTGGTTTACCTTTAAGAAAGAGAAATGCAGAATAGTTGTCCTTCCCTTATACTTCATGACATTTTGTAGTTCTTATCAGAATATAGTGAACCATAATTGGCTCTTTGACAGTATAAACTTTATTGGAGTGCAAGCTTCATGAGAACAACCAAAAACTTATCACTGGTCATTGTTGTATCCTGAGAATATAGCTCAATGGCTGGCATAAGGTAGGTGTCCCAAAAATGTTTAATGAAATAATGTGCTAATGTAGGGAGGAAGGAGGTATCAGGATATTTTTGGAATCTTCCTGAACCCTCACATAAATACAGACGGGGCAGCTTTACAGATAACAAAACTACAACCTAAGGACAAGGTTTAAAGCAACACTCAGGATAGATTTTTTATTTATTATTATTTCTCACAGCTCTGGAGGCTGCAAGTCCAAGATCAGGGTGCCAGGATCACTGGGTTCTGGGTCACAGACTGCCAGCTTTTCATTGTAACCTCACACAGAGAGTAGAGACAGGAAGAAAACTCTCCCAGGACTCTTATAAGGGCACAGATCCCATTCTACCCTCATGACCTCATTGGATCCTTATTCCCTCCCAAAGGCCCCACCTCCCTAGTACCATGCGGATGAGGAGCTTCAACATACGAGTTTTGGGGGGATGCGAATATTCAGTCCATACTAGTCCACCAGTAATCACTGAGTAGTACCCATTGCTGTTACCATCACAAAAGAGCCAAACACAAATATTATGCAGCTCCTGGTGAAACAGCGAAGTGCCACTTACAGTCTCGCCAAACGGGTAACACCTGAGTCCGATTAAGCCTCTGCATCCAGCTGCCAATTTGCAGCTGAACAAAGGAATGTTGAAATTCACCGTGAAATTGCAATCATCAAAATCCAGAATGTGGGATACTGCTGATTAAATGTCCTGGTTCTTGTAAAAAGTGAAAAGCAAGAAAAGGGAACAAAAGGGGCTGGAGGATAATCCTATGTAATAAAAGCAATTTAAAAGACATCAGTTTTTAAAATTAGATGTGTCTAAGGAAGCTCACTCGAATCAAAGCCTCAAGAAGTGCAAAGAAGTAATTACTGCCTATTAGTATTGGAGGTACAGAGCAATAATGGGGGTGGGGAACATGGTAAAGCCTTTGGATATGAGTGGAAAATTAATTTATCTTATAATTCACTAAGTTATATGTTTGCTTTGTGTGGTTTTCTATACCTCGTGTTTTATTTTACAATAAAAAAGGTAAAAAACTATTTCCCAGGAGTTTGGGCAAATAGATCACAAAAAGCCTAGAAAGGCCTAGTGATGTGTAATACATGGTACAGAAACATTACACATCACTCACTGATGACTCTGAGTATGTAACTATGTATACACTGATTACCTATGACTCTGCTTTAGATTCTGGCTGTGGTCTCAAGCCCAACTTCTTCAGTAAATTTCATATCCCCTGGCTTAGACAAAGGATGGAGAAATCAGTTGAGCATGCATATTAATTCTTCTGTTTGATATCATGTTTTGGTGATATTTTTCACTAGCAAAAGGTTTACTGAGCAGCTACTATGGGCTGGGGCCCTGGCCTAGGTATTTAAAACAGGAAGAGGGGATTGGAATGGTTTTTCCAACCAGAGGGCATAAAGTACGTTGCAAAGTGAGATTTGTTTCCCCCCATTTCATACAAATTTAATTGCGCTGACATGTTCCCTAATTCTCAACATGGAACCTCTTGACTTCCATGAACTTCAGAAAAATACTGGGGTTAAAGGGCCTTGAGTTTATTTTAACCTAAGAAGTCAAAGGGCAGAATGAATTTATGCCCTGATAATGCTGAACAAGTCTTTAGTTGACAATCAAATCATCCCTCTCTCTCTTTTTCTGTTTCATTGTTTTGTGTTTTGCTTTTGAATAATATTAGATAGTTCAAAGCATGATGCCTGTTATTTCTCAGTAAAAAGCAATATTATCATTTTGTAATACAAATATTGAATCGGTATGCTGGACACCTAAAACTCATATAATGCTATATGTCAATATACCTCAATTTAAAAAACTGAAGAGAAGTATTTCCTGGTAGTAAGTAAGATGAGTGTAAGGGTGAATTAACTTTATTCAGCAACTAATAATACATTTCTTCATATTCTGGATTGGCTGTATGTCTACATCTTCATTTTCACAGCAAGCCTCTCAAGTAGTTGTTATAATCACTCCCACTTTGCAGATGTCAAAACAGAAGTGCCAATGGTTGTGATTTGCCTGAGGACATCCCCCAAATTAGGTGGTGGAGCTGAAGTTTGAGCCAAGGCTTCTGTCTCAGGGTCCCACGTTTGTCCTTCCGAACAGATCACTAAGGGGCCAATTCGATTCCAGCATCCTTGTCTTGTGTTTACCCAGAGGCTGATTGCCTTTTAAAATTCTAGATCCTATTAAAATGCCAAAGGAAGGGGAGCTCTCTTTTTCCTTCTCCTCACCTTTTTCTCCAGGGAAGGGACGAGGATTTAGTAAACTAATGCTTTTCCATTGAGTTAGTTTCTTTAACTTTAATTTCCTTTAATCTCTGAGCTTTAGACTTATTAGTGATTGAGATGAACTCAACAGGAATTTCCAGACACCACGATCCTCTATGGCAGTTTTCCAGTTGACCATTCAACCCGATGAAATTCAATCTGTCAGGGCAAGCAAAACGAAGAATGGCAGTAAGAGGAGGTGAAGATAAGGAAATGATTCAGAAGAACAGCCGATTTCGCAAGTCTTCTTCTTCCCCTGTTTTATTTCCTTCAGTGCAAAAAATTAGCCATGATCAAGGTCCTTGCCTCTGTTCATCTAGCACGCCCCTGGAGAGCGGACAGGGTTAAACTATTTACAGAGAGAACTTCTGCCTTTACTTGATGCTGAGGACAAATAAACAATCAGCTATGCAAATACCACAAGCAGGGGAACTATTAGCTACACAAGTACTAATTACTCAAGTATTTACTACAGCAACAGAGGCATCAGCGTGCTAATTGGGCATTGTTGGGGAACACTTGAATTGGGGGATAATTTTAATCCTCCCTTTCCTAAAACCCCTTACTCTTAAATAATCTTTGTTCGTTTTCACCAGCCAGAAAAATCGAAGCTATCAAAATAGAGGCTCAAGCAGGATAGCAAGCAAAGCGGGAGGAACGGGAGAAGGAGGTGAGAAGGACAAAGATATACTCCAACTCAGCCCCATTGATGATGGCACATGGTACACAGGCGACTTTCTGTGCACGGGGACTAGGGTGCATTTTTCCTTAGTGCATCTACAACTGAAATGCACCGTTCATCCACTTCTTCAGGCTCTGAATTGTTCTGAATTAATATCAGAAGCAGAGAGGGCACGTTTCTATTCTAACTCTCCAACTTTCATCCACTTCCTCTCTCTCCTTTCTTCCTGTCAGCTCCCACTATGGGTAAGATAATCCCATGACTCAAAACAAGTGTATCCTTAGGACATTCTGGTCTGGGTGAGGTTTTTTTTTTTCCTTGAAATTATAAGTGAATTTAACTTGAGTAAGAGAAGCTTTTTGAAAATAAATATAAAAGTAAGAACTTAGCAGTGTAAAACTAGAAATGCTGAGGTTAAAAGTAGCCAGTGACAGCACCTTTCCATTAAGAACTGTGCCCGCCTAGATGGCCAAGGTTCTTCAGAGGGTCTCCAAGGGCATTACAAGGATCAGCCCATTGTGTGGTCAGAACGTTCACTCATGAGCTGTGCTTTCTCAGTGGGAACTTCTGAATTCTCAAAGGACTCTAAATCACAATGTAAATGCTTCAGGTGTTCATAGGTAATTGTTAAATGCAAAGGCAAATTCTAAGTTGGAAAGAAATACATTAAAAGTTTTGAATCTAAAAGTTAATTTACCCTTTAAGAAAACTCAAATGAGGGCGCCTGGAAGGCTCAGCCAGTTGAGCATCTGACTCTTGGTTTTGGCTCAGGTCATGATCTCATGGGTCCTGAGATTGAGCCCCGCATTGGGCTCTGCGCTCAGCAGGGAGTCTGCTTGAAGATTCTCTTCCTCTGCCCCTCCCCCCACTTGCACGCTTGTATGCAGACTCTCAGTCTCTCAAATAAATAAATCCTTAAAAAAAAGAAAACTCAAATGAAAATTCTCTGCCTCTAAAGCGGTTAGTCACTGAGAGTAGGTTTTCAGACAGCCTTTGGAGAAAACAACAGAAGACCTCCACTTTGATTCACTTCACCCCTAATAATTTTACGTGATGTTCAAATATATGAGAATGTATAGCAGTATAGAGGCACCAGGGTGGTCAACTCTAAGAAGTCTTGCCGGCCAGGAAGTCTAGACTGGCTCCTCATATCATTCATGCCCAAGGAAAGGCACGGGAAAAGTCTCAGAATCAACAGGAACGTTTCTGTGTGACCATCAGTGAGGTACAGTTACAAAAATTTAGCATTAGGAGGATTAACAAAGCATCCGGTATTAGATTTTAGAAAGTGATGGAGATGGTGAGTAGCTAGTTAGGACTTAAGCATCAGTGAAAGGGCCAAATGACCAAAATATTCATTTTAATTAGTAAATGAAATAGGCTTCATTTATACCATGGAATCCAAAGTCATCAATTGAAAAAAAATAAAGAATGGCACTCCCATGACATAGAAAGGGAGACAAATTTACTGACAAGGATGTCACTTCATAGATGATTTTGAACAAGAGAAATTATAGAACAGAATGTGTGTGTGTGTGCGTGTGTGTGTGAGAGAGAGGTTTTATTGTGAGAGAGGTTTTATTCACACTCAAGGGAATGTAAAGTCATTCTTCTAGAAAAAAAAAAAAAATCCTCAGAGCTAATGACCGTGGGTAACCATGTTGACAGTTAGTTGTCATGAGCGACTTCAAGTTCCAAGGGAGTCTTTCTAATGTTATTCTGGGATTTTTGATTCATATCAAATGTGGAGAATTTCAAATTATGAGTGAGTGTAATCTCTTTATTATACCCTAGAATTGAGAAGATTTTTAGATTTTATGTGAGCATACACATGTATTTGATATAAATCAATGTGTGCCAGTTCAACTTCTGTCTTGTGCTTCCCTCTTTGGTGGACCAGTGAATAATGGAACAGTGATGATAAAATAATCATGATCATGGGAAACAAAGTCAGAGATGTTGGTTATTATGACACATCTAAAGATAAAGGCAAACCATACACTGGCACAGATAATCCATTAACTGTGTCCATTCAAATTATCCATGTGGACTGCAACACCAAGGTTGTTGCTAGGAAGTGTCAGGAGTTACAGAGATGACCATAGTTACTGACATTACCATGTGTCCCCATCAGCAAGATCAACTGCAGGAGTCCATTCAAAACATGCCATGAAAATTCTTTTGCTTCCATAATTCTTGAGTCATACTTAGCAAGTGATTGTGTGTGAAGTTCTTAAATGGAGAACTGTTGTATTTTTGTTCAGTGAATACCTGACTAATTGCAGAAGAACACTTAGTGGCTGTTGGAGGGAAAAGAAAGAATTCTGCCCAAGAGCACTGATAGAAATCTTCCGAAAATCTATTCCAGAAATGGAAAATGGCGCCCTTCATTAAGGAGTTCCACCAGCCTTCCTCTCTGACTTAGGCTGACACCACCTTCTTCTGTTTCTCTGTTTATTCCTAGAATGCAGTCCCAACAGTATGTGCAGCCGCGTCGAAAACTTGCAGCTGCCTTCCTGGCATTCATTTTCATCTTGGCAGCTGTGGACACTGCTGAAGCAGGGAAGAAAGACAAGCCAGGTAGGCTGTAGGGTTATGAAGGCAAGACTGTTCATGGATTAAAGTCCATCTAATCCAAACTGCCTGATTTTTGTCCTCCCTCCCTCCCTCCCTCCTTCCTTCTTCCCTTCCTTCCTTCCTCCCTCCTTCCCTCCCTCTCTCCCTCCCTCTCTCCTTTCCTTTGTTCCTTCCTTAGAAGAACCTAAGTGACATCCCCCTGATCCCCCCACCATAAGTCCTAAAATATAGATGATGATGATGAACATAATGGTCATATTCGTAGCTACTATGTACAGAACAGTGATGAGCAAGCAGGTGTTTTACTTATGTTGAGTCTCTTCCTCAAAAAAGAGTCCTGCAGGGACATTTTGTTTTGTCTCATATTAACAAAGGGGGAAACTGAAGCTCAGAGCGATACAGCCGCTTTTCTATGTCACTCCCATGTCATAAATAGTAGGCTGTGGAGCTGGGAGTCTGTTTATGTCTGTGATCCACCACATTTAGCTTATGTTATTCCATCTCCAAGACAGAGAAAGGAACATTGACTTGCAATGAAATGCTAATCTGACAACCATTACTTCTAAAAGAACGTTGCCTTATTTTTCATGTTTCACTGTTTTTGAACATCTTTAACAGAAGTGTTTGCTTCTAAAAGGGGATGTCATTAGATCCCTTATACAGTCCCTAGCACGTAGAGTTAAATTAATGAGTTCTGTCTCCTTCAGTTTTCCTTCTCCCTTCTCTTGATCATTCACCGACTCAGTCATTTGGCTAACGTGTCAAGGTGCTACGATTCACTGGACAGTGAAGACGGAGGTCAAAAGCACAGACCCCACAATTACGGTGCTCTGGCGTGAACTTTGTTATAGAAATCAGGGTTTCCCAGAGGTTGACTGCGGTTCCTTTCTTCTTTCCAGAAAAAAAAGTGAAGAAGTCTGACTGTGGGGAATGGCAGTGGAGTGTGTGCGTGCCCACCAGTGGGGACTGTGGCCTGGGCACCCGGGAGGGCACCCGGACCGGAGCCGAGTGTAAGCAAACCATGAAGACCCAGAGATGTAAGATCCCCTGCAACTGGAAAAAGCAATTTGGAGGTAAGTCCCACCACTACTGTCCTGTTAATTTAACCTTCCACGCTGGGATAATGCTTGCATTCTTCCGCCAGTTACCTTTTTGAGCTTGACTACCATTTATTTTAAATAAGTTGATTTTTATCAGGTCGCAGATAACCAGGTATCTTGCCTCACCCCCGAGGTTTTTCAGCTTTGGTGCTACTGCCATTTGGGGCCATGTAGTTTTTTGTTGGGGAGAGCAATGCAGGATATTGTTCTGTGCACTGTAGGATATTTAGCAGCATCTCTGGCTTCTCTCCACTGGTTTCTAGTAGCACTCCCCATCTCCACCAGCTGTGACAACTAAAAATGTCTCCAGATATTGCCAGATGATCCCCGGGGTCAAAATAGTCTTAGATCGAGAACCACTCTCGTACCCTTCGGGACATAATATACCCTTGGGTCCCTCCTAAGTGTGCATTGATCTATCTTCTCTCCTCTCTCTCCTTCTTCTAGTTCTCATTCCTTTTTTCTTCCTTCCCCCTTCTCTTATTTATTCTCCTCCTTCTCCAGATGTCTTTCTGGGCCTTTCAGGCCCCCCCCCCTTTTGATCTTTCCCCACCATCCACACTGGTTAATAGATTTACTTATCAAATCCAGCAAGGCTGCTTATAGTCACTTTTCATAGACTTTTCTCTTGCTGACTATTGTCATTCTCCTGCTGGCCTCCTCTGACTGTCTGGGAAGGAGTCCTTCAACACTTCCAACTTTGAAACCCACTATTGAACACCCAGATTACCTGTTTCTTCCACGTTCCAGACTTTTTGTCTTTCTTGGCCGTGGTGGTACTCAATGCCCCAAATGTTCTTATTCTTGGCAGAAATGTATTCTGACCTATAAGCCAGTAAAGAAGGACAATGAATATACACACTGTATCTTTTTCATTCTCTATAACCTTTGGGGTACTTTTTATGAATGGTAGTAAGTTCTATAAGCACATGGTGAAATTCAGATACATTTGGTCTTAAATTATATATGGGTTCCCTAAAGACTCACCTACAAAAGTTTTTAAAAGTGTCTTAAAGAATGAATGCCTAGAATATATAAAGAACTCTCAAAAGTAAGAATCCAATTAGGAAGTGGGTGAAAGACATGGACGAATATTTTACCATAGATGAGATATAGGTGACAAATAAACACTCGAAAAGACGTTGACCATCTGTTCCCTGTTAGGGAAATGGAAATAAAAACCAGTGAGCTGTCACTGTATACCACATACCTATCAGAAGGGCTAAAATGACAATACCAAATGCTAGAGAGGAGGTAGAGAAATTAGATCATTCATACCTTGCTAATGGAAATGTAAAATGGTACAGCCACATTAAAAAGGAGTATGGCAGGTTTTGGTTTTTTTTTTTTTAATAAGAATAAACATCTGTTCCCTGCTCAGCGGGGGGTCTGCTTCTCCCTCTGACCCTTCCCCTCTCATGCTCTCTGTCTCCCATTCTCTCTCTCAGATAAATAAATAAAATCTTAAAAAAAAATAAACATCTGTTTATCATACAATACAGTGGTTTCATTCTTGGCCATTTATCCTAGAGAAACGAAAACTTACATTCCTCTAAAAATTTGTACACGAATAGCAGATAGCAGCTTTACTTGTAACAGCCAAGAGCTGGGAACAACCCAGGTATCCCTCAACTGGTGAATGGTTAAGCAATCCGTGATCCATACCTACCATGGAATATGACTCAACAATAAAGAGGAACTGATTGTTGAAACACAAGTGGATGGGCCTTCAGGAAATTATGCTGAGTGAAAAGAAAGCTAATCTCTAAAGGTTATACACTGTATGCATGATTCCATTTATATAACATTTTTTTTTTTTTTTAAGATTTTATTTATTTGACAGAGAAGAGACACAGCAAGAGAGGGAACACAAGCAGGGGGAGTGGGAGAGGGAGAAGCAGGCTTCCTGCAGAGCAGGGAGCCCGATGCGGGGCTCCATCCCAGGACCCTGGGATCATGACCTGAGCCGAAGGCAGATGCTTAATGACTGAGCCACCCAGGCGCCCCTATATAATATTCTTAAAATGACAAAAATTATAGAGATGGAAAAGAGATGAGTGATGGCCAGGGCTCAAGCAGATGGGAAGGGAGGAAGGTGCCTCGGCTAAGGCTGTGACGGGATTAACCCAAAGGACTGTTGTGTTGGAGCTCTTTTGCACATTAATGGTGTCGGTGTTCACTCTTACCTACAGACGTGACGCCGCCGCACAGAACTGAATGCGCACGCGCACGCATACACACAAATGAGTGCGTTGGAAATTGGCAGAACCTGGATCACTTCTGTGGGATGTATCCCTGTTCATTTCCTGGTTGTGCTCAGGAACTCTGGTTATGCAAGATAATCACAATTGAGGGGAAATAGGGTGAAGGATATAGGGATCTCCATATTCTTTCTTCCAACTGCATGGGACTCTGCAAAGATCTCACTACAAAAAGGTAAAAACAGAAGTGTGTCTACCTTTATGGCACTACTAGAGGAATTCAAAGATTTCTGTTTGGTCCTACCCTGCCTCTAGCGGAGTGCAAATACCAGTTCCAGGCTTGGGGAGAATGCGACCTGAATACCGCCTTGAAGACCAGAACTGGAAGTCTGAAGCGAGCCCTCCACAACGCCGACTGCCAGAAGACAGTCACCATCTCCAAGCCCTGTGGCAAGCTGACTAAGCCCAAACCTCAAGGTAGGTTCCTGTCATTATACCACAGTTTTCAGGTGCAAATGTTGATGGACTCACACAGGATCTTCAGATGTGGAAACTCGAATTTTCTGGAAGGAAATCTTAGGTGAATTACCTTAAGAAAGGGATTGAACAAGCCCTGTATGTTGAGCATCACACCAGTGCTTTTAGGCAGGCAATTGATGAGTTCAAATTAGAGTCCTCTGCACAGATGGGGCGTGGGGGCGGGGATTGGAACAGTCTCCTCGCACAAATAAACAACTTAGCAGAACAGGCCAATTAAGACAGTTGTTGTATGGTGACTGTATATTCCGAGCCCTAAACTGGGACTGCATCCTGGACAAGTAGGAACAAATTTATGAAGATCATGAGGCAGAAAATCTAAAATCAGGTCTCTCCTAGATTATCCAACAAACATAGTTTTCATGAAGTCAGCTACATTATTTTACATTTTTCCTTTCTCCACTGCATAAATTGATAGGTCCTATATTTCTTCCGCTTCTTTCAGCCTTTATATATATATATATTGTTGTTGTTAGCTTTTTTACCAACTACATTCATCATGGAATTTTCAAATTATGTAGAGCTGTCTTTCTGTTCATTCCCAGAAAGTTACACTCTGCTCTCCTGCCAGAGAAAGGGAACCAAAAACAAATAGCATGGCTGTGGTTTCATAGAAATAGGATCCCAGCTGAGGGAAGACAAGGAGGTCTTATACTCTTATTTCATGGGTGTTATGGGCTGAATGGTGTTAAACCACCACCACCCCCCCAATTCAAATGTTGATGTTCTAACCCTTAGTACCTCAGAATGTGACTGTGTTTGGAGATAAGGCTTTTAAAGAGGTCATTAAAGTGAAATGAAGTAGTATGAGTGGGTCCCAGGCCAATCTGGCATATAAAGAAAGGAGATTAGGACCCAGATACATGCAGGGGGAAGACCATATGAACACATAGCGAGAAGATGGTCATCGACAAGCCAACAGGACCCACCTCAGAATAAATGAACCCTGCTGACAGTTGATCTTAGATTTCTGGCCTCTAGAACTCTGAGAAAGTAAATTCCTGCTGTTGAAGCGATCTGCTCTGTGGTATGGGGCATGGCAGCTCTTGCAAATAAATACGGGACTGGAAAATCCATACTGTCCAGATTAAATATAAGGAGAAACTCAGAAAAAAAAATGAACATGAAGCCTACAGTAAATGAAAATAGGGGAAAAAATACCTCCAGTAATCAGAAGGATAGGCTGGCTTGCTGCTGATAGTCAGAAAGGACTCATTTCACGGACGAAGCTCTTCAGTCTCTGATGGAGTTGTCCGTGGACATGGTTGCCCCCAACGGTAGGGTGGCCAGATGCAGGCTAGACCTGCAGATGGCACATCGAGGATTCGGGCTGCCCTTTTCAGATCACGGAAATCTGCTGGTTGCAGTGTGTATTTGGAAGGCATGAAGTGGGGTCAGTATATGAATGTATGGGCCAACTTTATAAGTATTACTTGTCTGAAGACAACCATACAGATCTAATGAAAATTAGCGGCCATATCCATCCAGTGAGACATTTCCAAAACTGGAAGAACTCAGAGATACACAGTTTTCAAATTAATTTATTTTTCAGCCAGTCAGAGAACCAAAATATTCAGCATAAATAGAGCATGGAGAAGAAAAGGAATTGAAGAAGTCCCCATGCTCTACCACAGTGGTTCTCAACCTGGGCTGCAAATTAGAATTTCCTGTGAGAACTTCTAAAAATCCCAGTACCCAGGCATAATCCAGACCAACTGTCTCAGCCTCCGTAGCTTTGAAAATTAAGATGTTCCTTAAAAGATTTCAGTATCAGCCAGAATCAAGAATTGCTGTGCTAGTATGAAACTCAGAGAGACCACACACACATACACGCATGCATGCGTGCATACACGTGTACACAGTCTGTTCTGCTTCTCTCCAGTGGGTGAGAGAAACTGCAGTCTAATGAAGGAGGAGGAAAAAATAAGAGAGGGATTAGGCGGTGGGTGGTGGTAGGGCTAGATGGATCCGGAAAGTGTTGAAAAGTTTGGAATAAATAGGACAAAGTGGGGACATAATTCAGAAGGAGCCTTCAGGGTATTTGGTGAAGACATTAAGTGAGGACTTCTTTTGACCTGGTCCAGCAGATAGTTGACTTTTTACATTTTCTCATCTGGTAATATGTAATGAAGGTTATAAGTTTGGTCAGGCTTTCACCTTGAAAAATGGTGGTAAAAATATTTCAAGTGGGTAAACATTCTGTCATTTATTTCTGTATCAGAAATTACGGTATATAATTAATTGAAAATGGGATTAGCCGGAGTGAGTTCTGTATTTCACAGCACTAGGTAAAGCCCAACACCGTGTGCAAAGGTGACTTCCAAATGGAAGACACTTTCTAGAGCATGATTTCTTCTTTTTTAGAAGTTTTAATTCCAGTGACATAGTGTTATATTAGTTTTCAGAGTATAATACAGGGATTTAGGAATTCTGTATATTCCTCGGGACTCATCACGACAAGTGTACTCTTATTCCCCTTTACCTATTTCCCCCATCCACCCCCTCCCCTCCCCTCTGGTAACCAGTTTGTTTTCTATAGTCAAGAGTTCGTTTCTTGGTTTGCCTCTTCTTTTTCCCTTTGTTTGTTTTGTTTCTTAAATTGCACATATGAGTGAAATCATATGGTATTTGTCTTTCTCTGACTTATTTTGCTTAGCATTGTACTCTAGATCCATGTACATCATTGCAAATGGCAAAATTTCATTCTTTTTAATGGCTGAATAATATTCTGTTGTGTATCTGTACCATATCTTCTTCATCCACTCATCAATTGGATGGACACTTGTGCCGCTTCCATAATCTGGGTATTATAAATCAGGTTGCAGTAAACATAGGGGTATATATATCCTTTTGAATTAGTGTTTTTGTATTTTTTGGGCAAATACCCAGTAGTGCAATTACTGAATCTTAGGGTAGTTCTAGTTTTAACTTTTTGAGGAACCTCCATACTGTTTTCCAGAGTGGCTGCACCAGCTTGCATTCCCACCAACAGTGCACGAATGTTCCTTTTTCTCCACATCGTCACCAACACTTGTTGTTTCTTGTGTTTCTGATTTTAGCCATTCTGACAGGTGTGAGGTGATAATCTCATTGTGGTTTTGATTTGCATTTCCGGATGGTGAGTGATGTTGCCCATCTTTTCATGTGTCTGTTGGCCATCTGGATGTCTTCTTTGGAGAACTGTCTGTTCATGTCTTCTCATTTTTTACGGATTATTTGGGTTTTTGGCATTCAGTTGTAGAAGTTCTTTATGTATTTTGGATACTAACCCTTCATTGGATATGTCATTTGCAAATATCTTCTGCCATTCAGTAAGTTGTCTTAATTTCATTGATTCCCTTGTGTGCAGAATCTTTTTATCTTGATGTTGTCCTAATAGTTTATTTTCACTTGTTTCCTTTGCCTTAGGATACATATCTAGAAAAATGTTGTTATGACTGATGTCAGAGAAATTACTGCCTGTGCTCTCTCGAATATTATTTCTAAAACTGTTCTGGAAGACATCTACCAGAGTGTAAGTTTCAGGAGGACAGGGACCTGACCTGTGCTGTTCTCTACTGTATCCCTTTTGCTTGGAACAAGGAGTAGCACATAGTAGGTGCTGAATGTGTATAAAAAATAAATGCTAAAAGAAAAAAGGTTTCACACATTAAATTTATCATAGGCTGGTGGAAGCTGCAGTAAAGAAGTCATTTAAGTAATATTTTCATACAGTTACACAATTATAAATTATTTTTTCCCTTTCTTCAGGAAAGAATAACTCATCAGGTCTTCCTGCTACTTTAACTCAGGAAAGAGGGAGGTAGGGAACCCACTAATTTTGAGTCAGGCACTATGATATGATAGGCACTCCTCATTTCAGCTTTAAAGCAACTCTGTGCACTAAATTGTATTTATCTTACTTTGTATTTGAGAAAGCACAGGCCCAGAGAGGGTAAGCAACTTGTCTAACGTTTCACAGCTTGTAAGTGGTGATTCAGATTCAGAGTCAGACTGACAGCAAAGACCCGCTGCCATTTCTATTGCATTGTGCTGCGTCTGGGTATTATACACCCATGAAGCTTTGGCCATGTTAGATAAGTCTCGACGTCTAGAATCATTAAATAGTAGAGCTTCTGGGGACCTTGCTTGTCATCTGATGTAACCCTGATGGAATAGATGAGGACAGAGAACATCAGTGATTCATTTAAATCCATCCTGTTGTTTAGGAGCAGAATCAGTTCTGGGCTTTCTTGTCTTTCAGTGCCATTTTCTGCCTTCTTAACCCAGTCCCTGAGCTCATAGCCAGAAAGTACCTTTTCGCCTTCCATCGTCATCCTTCTCATCAAACGCAGCATCAGGTTCTGGTCTTTTGTCTTTTTTTTTTTTTTTTTTTTTTACATGTTTGTTTTATACATCTTTTTGGTTTGATTTCTGTCCTCTTTTGTTTTGGAAAATGGTAATGGCTTAATATGCAAATGACATAACGTTTGGTGTGGAAAAGATGCTCTTTAAATTTTAGAATGGAGGGCGCCTGGGTGGCTCAGTTGGTTAAGCAACTGCCTTCGGCTCAGGTCATGATCCTGGAGTCCCTGGATCGAGTCCCACATCGGGCTCCCTGCTCGGCAGGGAGTCTGCTTCTCCCTCTGACCCTCCCCCCTCTCATGTGCTCTCTCTCATTCTCTCTCAAATAAATAAAATCTTTAAAAAATAATAATAATAAATAAATAAATAAATTTTAGAATGGAACATTAAGATGCCTGATTAGGCTGTGACTACCCAGCATTAAATTGAGAAAAGTCAGGAGAATATCATTGTGACTTGATTCCTAATAAGGCCAAAAGTTTAAAAGACTTGCTTGGGGGTGAGAGGGCACTTAATATCCAGAGTTGACACCTGAACTCTGGGAGATTACTAACTATCCCCCCCTGCTTTAGTTAAAAATCGCCTTAAAACTCACC